GCTGGCCAGACGATTTGTAGAATGGCGCGAAGTTGCATACCGGCTCGTACAACGACGCAAACGTGTGCATCGAGTTCAAAAACTCATCAACGCACTTCAATGCGTTGTCCGCGTTCACGCGGTAATTGAGCACGATCATTTTGGTATGATCCGCCGACGCCTCACCGCCACCCGCCGCAGCTACGTGACGAATACCTTGCAACGGCACGTTTGAGAACACGCATTCGAATGTCCAGTGCAATCGGTTTTTGTCGTTGGTTAGCCGAACGAAGCAAGACAGCACCGTGTCCCAAAATTTATCGAACACATGTCGCTTGATGCCGGAGATCATCGTGAACCTATAGCAAGTACTTCAGTAGAAAAACGAAATATAATACAGAACTTGCGCTTCCAAACAGTTAAAATAGCCGGCCTAAGAAAAACACTTTCACATGAAACTTTTATGCGGTTGCTTCCACGTGAAAGTCAGAAACAGGAAAAAGATACATGCCAAAGACGCTGTTCTATAAAGCAAACAGCAGGCTCTCTAAAACAATAACTCGTTCGGAGATAGTTCAGAACGAACAACGAACACTGCATGAAATGGAACGCTAGGGCAAAATACCACGGAATCCGTTTACCTCAAACAGAACACTGTGATTAATCCTGAATCTCGAAAAGATGGGCTAATAAAGTAGTGGTAACCAAAAGCTGATACATATCGAATAAATTTAAGAAAGTCCAAAAACAAGACATCCTAGAACATAAAACTGGAAGAAAAACTGCAAGCCACCGTTTCCACTGACCCAAAAAGAAAACGTGATGGCGAATCATGTCGTTTATCCTCTGAACAAAGGATAACCATAATTTACACCAAAAGCTGATCTACAATTCAGAGGGTAAACGATATATTGCTTGTTTTCCCAGTCATAGATGATATTTACTCGCGAATGCCCAACACCTGGATTCTGTTGCTAACTGCTCATTATTCAAGCGCAGTCTCAGTTGCCAAGAGCTAAGATTTCCAGTATCCTCTTCACAAGTCGTGCCTGTTCTTTTCGCTAGGTGGTCAAATGCAAACGCAGAACGCATATTAACGTTTGCGTTCAGTTCGTCGTTTCATGCGCTGTACGACAAATTATGCCTTGCCGCTGCACCACTCTACTGCCCCAAATGCTATAAGGCTCCGAAAGTTCAGTTTGCAAACTGGATAGAATTAATCAGTATAAAACAGAGACCACTTCAAGCAAATCAACCACAATAATCAATCTCGAAAAATCTGCTGTTCAGTGCTGATTTATTACAGCTTTAAAGGACGATTGCAATCAGCAATGGAAACAAGCTGGCGTGAGCTCCTCAATTCTGATGACATACAGAATCGATGTGATAAAATTTATGCATGACACTCGGCGTGCTTTAAAGTTGGGGCGAAGAAAGATGGGCCTATATAGCAAAACTCAACCTTACGCTCAATTAGAAAGAACCAACTCAGAAAGCTTATAAACTTTGTAGCAAATCAATCGACGTTATTAATAACCCAACATACGCACCCAATGATGTACAAAATCATACAGCCTTCCTGTTCATCTTCACATGTCTGAAAGATTATCCCTCTGCTGTTCAGTGCCTCGATAAGCATGAAAAATGGGATTCTCTGCTCACAGACAGTGAACACAACGGCCAAGTCAGTAACGTAATCGGCGCTGGCGTTATGTATCTGAAAAAGTAATTTGTTCACCACTTACGTTTCATAACAAATTTTGATAAAAACTGAGGTTACAGATAAAATCGCAAGTAAACGCATAAGGGAAGAGATTCGTGATTTCGAATATAGGTGCGCACCTCTGTTATTTCCTGTACGGAACTTTTCTCTCTCGTTCTCTATTCGGCAAATGCTAAAAACTTCTCCAAAACTATATGAAACGACTAACAGAAGAAACCTTAGCGAACCAGGAAAGGAAAAACAGCAGAGACGACGTAAGCTCAAAGTTAATGTCGCCGCATATGCTACATGTACACCATTCACAAGAAAAGCAACAAAGAATGGCTCGAAAAAATTAATTAACTAGAATTAATATTAACATAAATTACAATGCTGCCAGTCAGCTGCTAACGATGCTGAAAACAAAGCTGAAGCCAACAGAGTGTTGCTTTACATATTGCCTTGCGACTGAGGAATCAGATACGAAACAGACGAAACGACTAGCGATACGAACAGAAAACAGAACAATTCTGGAATCTAATACGGAGGCTTAATGCTCAAGCGAAACAGGACAATAGATCGGAACAAAAAAGCAAGCAGAACGTCCGTACGTTAGGACAAATGAAAATATTACAAATACAAAATACGAAAAAGCTACAACAAATGTAAAAACCTCAACATCTGCAGGCCATACCGTAAAAGAGTGCATAACAAAAAAGAACTGGAATTCACCCAGGTTTGTACTGAATTCTGAAAAAAAACTTTGAAATTTTTTTTAAACGGACACTCTTGACATTCTTGATTATGAGCAGATTTGGCATCCCAGATTATTTGGACAAAATCTCTCAAATACGGGAGAGACTGAACTCATGACTAAATATTCTTGGAATAATCAAACGCCAACTCAACCTTTTGGTTAGACCATTACAACAAGAGAAAATTTGCTTCAAAATATATTTTAAGAACTTTCGGACAATCGCAATGATAAACAGAAAGTAGCTTAAACTTAGAATAGCATTCAACGCTGCCTATGAGATGAAAACTAAGGTCATCTTCGGCTGCTTTGAAGTCGGCAGTTGCCTTCCCATGATATGAACTGACGAGGGCATCCTCTTAAAAAAAGCCCGCTTAAGTTTCACCGAGCCCCTAAATTTAATACTAGTTTAGGAGAGTATCCCATTTTCTAGATGATTCATTTGTTTGTCCAAAATTATTCTGACGCCATCAGGCATACAGTTTCTGCTTTCAACATGTCACTAATATTTTGCAGATTTGCATGTTTCTTAAAAAGTTCAAAACAGCCGTAGCTGGGCTTTGAATGCATAAACACCTTCAGATGAAATAGCATTTTTGCCGATTACACTCCTAAAACAATATTGATGGATTGCGAATTAGCCCCAGACAACCGTAGCTGCAATAAGTGAAGGAGCAAAGCCCACGAGAAGGATAAGTTGCCATCATGCAGCATAAGCCAGGAAAAGCGATAACTTTCCCTTTTTCCTAGCATGCTCCTTTTAACAGTGGTCCGCAACCTCCTCTACATTTTTCTGTCATTGTCGTTCGACTTCAGTCTTCCTCGCAGTTTCGTACTGTTTTTGACGGCATCGCGCCACCTTGTCTTTGGTCTTCCTCTTCTTTTCTTCTCTGGCAGTAACAGTGCTTGGACCATATTTTCAACGTACTCGATGGGTCTTCTTTTCAAGTGATCGAACCAACGGAGCCTGCTTTTGATAAACTTTTGAGATTGGTGCTACCCCCAGAGTGCCTCTTATGAAGCTGATTCGGATGTGGTCTTTTCTGTTGACACCACACACCCATCTGAGGATTAGCATTTCTACAGAATTCAGCTGCTGCTCGTGTCTCTTCAGGGTAGCCAAACATTCCGCTCCGTACAGAAGCACCGGCCTTACTACCGTTCTGTACACCTTCCCTTTCAGTCTGATTGCCATCTTCTTGTCGCACAGTACTCTGTTCGCTTCTCCTCAAACCGGAAAAGTTATATCCACGGGCTATTTTCAACGGCAGTATTGAAAATTAAAAACTCAGAGTTTAACTGTATAAAAATATCTGTCTTCGACAACTACTGTTCAAAATTCGGAGTCCTTTACGGGATAACATAGCATACATCCAATATATATTCTCCAACGCTTTGCACCAACTCGATCTTACTTGCCTTACCTTGTGGAATATATTTAAAGTATACGAAACAACAAACTTCAAAAAGAAAGGGCTAAATGGATACACAAGAGGTTGAAACATAAAATCATAATCAAAATAAGAGAATTATAAAGTTCACCAAAGGTTCATAAACCTGGAGCATAAATGCGGGAAATCATTCCCATCATCAATAAAACAGCCAATAATTTTGAACTACTTCGGGAACATGAATTTCCATGTCAAAAACTGCAATAGATTAACAAGATATTTCCGAAAGTTGGAGCTCAAAGAAGTAACAATCATGGTCAGCTATGATACCGCCTGTTATCTGCTCCTCAGATTACCACAAATAAAATCTTCACTGTGGTAGAAAGAAAGGCCGAGATCGAAACGGAGTCAGCGAAAAAGACAAAGCTAACAGCTAAATCCATCGTAGGTATTCCAAAGATCTGTCTAGCATATAAAATCATTTCAGATTCAATGACTAACTATACAAACTAGCAGTTCGCCTAACAGTTCTCCGCTGCATCCTGTTCCAGGGGATTTCTTATACCATTGACAAAATGATTCAACGCCTTTTGATCAGAAGATAGGTTGATTACACTGTCAGTGAAAAAGACACGGAAATACTTTTTGGATCACCTTAACTCCCTGGATCGAGAAAAAATTCATATTCACCATGGAAGTGAAACAACAAGCCTTCTCATCTTCTCCGGAAGCATTAATGATGAGAAAAGGAATAAGCACGCTAGTGAATGTTTCACAAGGCAACACACCAATAAATTTCTGGTATTAGATTCGAGGAAGAAGCATCTTCTTCATCTGGCGAAGAAGCACATTTCTAGCACTCTATAAAGCAGATGCTCCGAAATGAGCTTGATCAACATTGGGATCCAAAAGTAACTAGTTTACACTAAGAGCTCTCAGAACTACCCTAGATGGGGCTAATAGAAGAAGCAATCAGCAGTTAGCAAAACAGAAGTAGCAAGGAAAGAACTAGAAGTAAAC